GCGGGGCAGGGGCGCCGCGGCGGCCGGTGCAGGCGCAGCTGCAGCGTGCTGGGCGCAGCGGCGGTGGTGGTCCTGGCGCGCACTGAGCTCCGGATGATATGCGTAGCCGTGATTGCATGACTGCTCCCGCTGTATATTGCTGCTGCTACAAGACAGACGGGCAGCGTTTCAATGCTAAAGTTTTGCTTTTCAGATGGGTGTAAGTAGGGATGTATGGCGCGTTGAATTCTGTACACCCCAATCGTATCAAATAACACTTCTTTACGCATTGCATTGCTGTTGTCGGCACTCCCCAGATCGTGTCACCCCGGTGATCAAGTCGCACAAGCACGAAACCCATGTCAGGCCTACACAGGTGGTGTGTCAACAGGTCAGCATCACGTTGCTGTAGCCCGGCCGCCACTCCGTTTGGGCTTGGACGACAGCAGCACAAGGCAAGGCGCAGGGCAGGTGCGAGCCGCAGTGGGGCGCTGCTTGAATCTGCTCAGGAGGGGCCAGGGAGTGCCACCCCTCGCCCGGCCCAGCGGTTCATGGAGATGCACCAGCCGAAGACGCGCCCTTTGGTTCCCCGCAGTTGCGGCGATGGCATCGGGCGGCGGCGGCGGCGACGGAGGCCGCGTGATCGCGCTCGATTTCGACGGCGTGGTGTGCGACTCAGTTGGGGAGAGCAGCCTCTCGGCGTTCAAGGTTTGTGCAGGCTGTTAAGAGCGCAAGGGGGGCCCGCAGCAGACTGATAGACCGACAATTCGTGTCAGGAGGCCGGCCGGCAACTGCGACGCAGGGCCCGTCTCAGCGGCTGGTTCGTCGCCTCGCAGCTGTCAGCCGGCAGGACGAAAAAGCAGACCACCCCGCCAGGCCCCCTCCCCAGCAGCGCCACCCCCCTGATGGCCCGCAGGCCGCGGCCATCTACTGGCCCGACATCTTCGCCACCCCTGAGGCGGAGGCCCAGAAGCCGCGGCTGGTGGAGCAGATGCGCGCGGTGCGGCCGGTGGTCGAGACGGGGTGAGCTCTGAAAGGGGGCCCGCGGCGGCGGCGGCGGCTGTGGCCACGGCCGCGACGGCGGCGCGCCTGTGACGCTGCACCCTGCCAACGTGGCTGGCAGGCGCAGCCTCGTCTGGAGACGCAGCACCATGGGGGCTTGGGGGGCGCCGCTCCTGCTGCCAACTGACGCTGCCGACTTGGGGCACGATTCTTGATGTGTAAGATTGACAGACACTGCCCCTGGACATCACCACCAGACTTGGAATAATCTCATTTGACAAATCAGCCAATCAAACCAACCAACCAATCAACCAACCAACCAACCAACCAACCAACCAACAATCAGGTATGAGAACGTTGTCCAAATCCGCTGCCTGTACGAGGGGGTGGGCGTCGAAGACATGCTTGAGCGGTGGCACGCCGGCATGCTGGACGATTACATGAAGAAGTGGCAGCTGGACAGGCACGAGGTGGGGCCCCGCAGGATTATGCTGTAAGCATCTTATGTGTGTTGTAGTTTTAATTGTGGGGGAGCAGCAGAGGTAATTCAAGGATTTTGGGTGGGCTGGGTTATGCAGGGCTGGCAAGGAGTTGTCAAAACTGTGAAGGTGGAAATACCTGGGGACGCGGCCAGCAATCCGCTTGGCACGGCCCCGACGACGCCCCTGGCCCGCCTTCGCAAGGCACCTGCTCCGCAGCCCGGCCCGCATAGCCCCTGCCCAGCCAGCCTGAACTGCCCCCAGCTCCTCGGCGCCTCGACGACGCACGCCGCGCCCGCGCCGCCCGCACGCGCTTTGCAGCTCGTCACCTTGTTCGGCCGCGTGCGAGACGACTGGATCGCGTCCGACCTGGCGGGGTGGCTCGCGCCCAACAGGATCTACCCCGGGGTGGCGGACGCGGTCAGGGCCGCGCTGGCGGGCGGCGACGAGGTGTATGTCGTGACAACCAAGCAGGTGCGCCGCGGGCCCCATGCATCGGGCCCGGCTGCGCGGCGCGGCACGGCACCGAGGCGGGCGCGTTGTGAAGCGGCGGGCTTGCCCTTGTGCATGGAGGGCGACTTGGAGCCGGGGCAGGAACTCGATTCCTCAGAGCACGGTTCTGCGGGGGGCGGCGCCCGGCTGTCGTGCAGCATCTCCACCTCACGTCCGTCAAGCCCACAAGCCCCTTCACACGCCTGTCTCCGCCGCCCCGCACGCCCGATGCCCCGGTCCCGCCCTGCGATTCGCCCGCTCTCCCTCACCCCCTTGGCCCCGCCCAGGCGCGCTTCACCGCCACCCTGCTGCGCGACATGGCCGGCATCGACCTGCCGCCCGAGCGCATCCACAGCACCACAGTCTCCGGCGAGCCCAAGAGCCGCGTGCTCGCGAGGCTGGCTGAGCAGCACCCGGGGGCGGCGAGCTACGTGTTTGTGGAAGACAAGTTCTCGACGCTCGAAAAGGTGGGGGAAGGGGGCGTTGGCAGTTGGCCGGCGGCGGGCTTTAAAGGCGTGTTGCTGGAGTGTCATTCTCCCGTGCCCAGTGGGCGTCCCGGGCGTGAGCGGCCCGCTGAAAATGCTGGTGTGCTGATTGCAGCCGGCTGGGGACTGGTTGTTTTGCAGGCGTGCATGTTAGCCTCGCGTGGCCCAGCCGCCCGCGTCCCCTGGGACAGACCGGTGTCTAAACCACCACACAATGGCTCTGCCGATGCACGTTTGCAGGTGATCAAAGCACCGGAGACGGCCGGCAAGTGGCGGCTATTTCTGGTTGACTGGGGTTACAATACCCCGCCTGAGCGGCAGCAGGCGGCGGACAACCCGGGGATCGAGCTTGTGGGGGTGCAGCAGTTTGCAGATCTGATGGCTGGCACGCTGTGACGAGGGTGCGTCGGTTGCTGCTGGGCTGTCTGGACTTGACTGTTCTTGCGCTGCGCAGATTGCTGCGCTCTGGTGCTGCCTGATTCGGCCGCAGAGCATCCCCTTCCACGTTATTTATTGGGGGTGGGATGAAGATGGTGACAGCGGACCCCTTGACCTGATATGCCAAAGTGCCATACCCACGCGACTCCAGTGAAATGCCAAAGCGCCATACCCAGGCAACTCCAGTAAAATGCCAAAAACAATTCATCAGAGTGTTTGTCACCTATTGACACGTTTATTTGGGCACCAAAATACAGCGCTGTTGCTGCATCGCGCCTGGCGACTGGCTACAGCCAGCTATTGGCCAGTGGTCCAGCACCTCATCACTGCTGCCCTGTAAAACTTCGACCCCTCGAGCAGCGACGAGAGACGTGCCGTGTGTGCACCTCGCGCGACCCTCTTTGAGTACTTCCTGCGAGGGCCCAGTCCAGTATTGTTGGAGGAGCACCCGAGGTTGCACCGCAGCGGTGGGCACGCATCCTGCCAAGCAAACAGGAGGCCGACCGCCTTGCGTCGCTGCTGGTTTAATCTTGCAGCAGTCCTCGCTATCAGGAGAGTAAACATTGTCGCATGGTGACCACAGCGCAGCGCCCGTGTGACAGGGCAGCACACCACGTGCAAATGCCCCAAGCACTTCCTGTGAGATAGAGCGCCATCCAGCCGCATGGTCACAAACGAGTTGATGGCGACCGTTAGGAATTGGGCCATGGCAGGTTGCCAGGTTGGATGCGAGGGGTTACGTCAAGGGCTGAGCCCTCCCGTGTGGCAGTCTGTTTCCCACACAAGAGGGGCGAGCCAACCGCACGGCGCGCGTGATTGCTGCACTGCCAGCAGGCAACGAGGACGGCAACGCTGAGCCATTTTTGTCAATGTTGGCTGCGTTGAGGGCTCCGGCCGAGCGCAGCCTACAGATGAACAGCTGCTTTTCAAGGCATTTGCTCTGCATCGGCCCCTTTCGCCCGCCGCGCGCACACCGCCCATTACCAGCAGTGGGGTCAAAGTCGAGGAGAGAGCGCTGGTGCACTGCAACGTCACTTTACGCAGCTGCATGCTGCATGCTGCTGCTGCTGCTGCTGCTGCTGCTGCTGCTGCTGCTGCTGCTGCTGCTGCTGCTGCTGCTGCTGCTGCTGCTGCTGCTGCTGCTGCTGCTGCTGCTGCTGCTGCTGATTGGACTCATTGGCTCGTCATGAGAGGGGCAAAAGCACCACTGTGGGCATGACAGGACGTTGGGCTTGCCTCAAGTCCTGCCCGACAAACCTCAGGCCAGGGTCAAGCGGCCAGGCCAGTCCGCCGCATGATGGTGGGTCCTTGGTGCATATCAAGTACCCATGCCTACCAGACAGCGCCCGTACAGCATCGTGCGAGCCAGATGGTGCCACAGTGACTCTGCAGTGTGCCGGAGTGTCTTCGCCCCCGCGTTCACACGGGGGTCAGCATACGCGAGGGTGAGCGCCTGTCCGGCGTGGCTGCGTAATCAAGTCCGACGGCGCAGTCCGGATGGAGGGGCACCATCAGCGCCCAAACACAGTCACACAATATTCGCTCTAAAGTGCAGCAAATTCACAATTTGCGATGCCTGTGCAGACAGTGACCCAAGTGCCTGATGCGCTTACGACTCAGTCTGAGGCGCGTGGCCGGCCCAAGTCTTCCCGCCCAGGCTCCTACGGCTGCGCTAGGAAACACGCACAGCGTTGGCCTCGTATGAAAGAGTTGATCTTGGGAATGGTTTTTTACTTGATCACAGCAACATCGCCATATGGACCTCCACCGGGCTAGATGCAGGGAGTCATCGCAAGCGACGGCTGCTCGTGCCCTGAGTCAGGCCTCAAAAACATGGGCACAGCTCGCCGCGTGCCGCATGCAGCCTCAGAGACCCGCGTGTGAAAGCAGAATATTTTTCATCCAATTGACAACTCGCTCCATGTACGCCCACGCAGTCCAGACGCACTCCTCCCGTGACAAAAGGCCACCTCGGTGTGTCATGAAGGGTGGTCGGAATCCGGGTGCGAGGAGTTTGGTAAGCACCGCCACGACTATAAAACGCGTGTATATCCCTAGCAAATTCATTCCACCGCCTCCACCCACGCCTACCCACTCAAACAGTCCATCGCTTCCGCTCCTCAGGTGGGCTCGATCGTCCGGGATGTTGCATGATGCTTGACGCAAGTGTATTGAGCGTTGGATCAGGGGCATCGCATTGAACACCAACGCGTCCAGCCACCCCAGGCCGCCCCCCCCCCCCCGCCATCCTGCCGCAACACATCCTGACTGTCCCCATCTTGTCGCCGCTCTTTCCTCCCTCCCCTGCTCCCCAACACGCACAGGCTTCACCACACCACCCTTCACAATGGCTCGCATCCTCGCCGTGGCCGCCATGGCCGTGTTCGTCCTGGCCGCGCCCGCCCTTGCGGCCCGTGACCTCAAGCAGCTGGGCGCCGTCACTGGCGCCGTGAACGGCCTCCTGGGCACTGTGGGCACCACCGTCAACGGCCTCCCCGTTGTTGGCCCCGTCGTGGGCCCTGTGGTCGGCACTGTGGGCGGCACTGTGGGCGGCCTGCTCGGCACCGTC